ATCTAATGTGCTACCAGATAGGAGTGGTGTGTTAAGTAGTACTGTTTTTATCAGTTTAATCCCTGTTACGTCCCCTATCAGGGGACGTGTATATGGCATCGATTTTAGGAACCAGGAGATGGAAAAAATGCTTGGTCGGTCCTCCTTCTTCAAATTTGGGGCACTGCGCGTGCAATCTAATGTGCCACCAGATAGGAGTGGTGTGTTAAGTAGTACTATTCTTATCAGTTTAATCCCTGTTACGACCCCTATCAGGGGATGTGTATATGGCATCGATTTTAGGAAGTGGGAGATGGAAAAAGATGCTTGGTCAGTCCTCCTACTTCAAATTTGGGGCACTGTGCGTGCAATCTAATGTGCCACCGGATATGAGTTGTGGCACTGGACAAGTGGGCACAGTATACGCTGTGAGCCTGACACACACGCTGGCAGACAACTAACTGCTTTCAATCTATTACAGTCAAAATTGTATTTTTTTTTTTTTAAATGTACACTACTGTTACACCAGATATGAGTTGCACTGGTGTGACACAGTGCCCTGGCAGGCCCTGAAACGCACACGCGTGAAGGAAACTGACTGCTATTATATTACAGTCCAAAAAGTTTTGTTTTTGTTAAATGCAAGCTATTGTGACACCGGATTTGAGTGGTGGCACTGGGCAAGTGGGCACAGTATACGCTGTGAGCCTGACACACACACTGGCAGACAACTAACTGCTATTCAATCTATTACAGTCAAAATTGTATTTTTTTTTTTTTTTAAATGTACACTACTGTTACACCAGATATGAGTTGCACTGGTGTGACACTGTACCCTGGCAGGCCCTGAAACGTACACTCATGAAGGAAACTGACTGCTATTATATTACAGTACAAAAAGTTTTGTTTTTTTTAAATGCGAGCTATTGGGACACCAGTGAGTAAGTGGTGGCACTGGGCAGGCCCTGAAATGCACACTAGTGAAGGAAACTGACTGCTATTATATTACAGTCCAAAAAGTTTTTTTTTTTTTAAATGCAAGCTACTGAGACACCAGTGAGTGAGTGGTGGCACTGGGCAGGCCCTGAAACGCACACACGTGAAGGAAACTGACTGCTATTATATTACAGTCCAAAAAGTTTTGTTTTTTTTAAATGCAAGCTATTGGGACACCAGTGAGTGAGTGGTGGCACTGGGCAGGCCCTGAAACGCACACTCGTGAAGGAAACTGACTGCTATTATATTACAGTCAAAAAAGTTTTGTTTTTTTTAAATGCAAGCTATTGGGACACCAGTGAGTGAGTGGTGGCACTGGGCAGGCCCTGAAACGCACACTCGTGAAGGAAACTGACTGCTATTATATTACAGTCAAAAAAGTTTAGTTTTTTTTAAATGCAAGCTATTGGGACACCAGTGAGTGAGTGGTGGCACTGGGCAGGCCCTGAAACGCACACTCGTGAAGGAAACTGACTGCTATTATATTACAGTCAAAAAAGTTTAGTTTTTTTTTAAATGCAAGCTATTGGGACACCAGTGAGTGAGTGGTGGCACTGGGCAGGCCCTGAAACGCACACTCGTGAAGGAAACTGACTGCTAATATATTACAGTAAAAAATGTTTTGTTTTTTTAAATGCAAGCTATTGGGACACCAGTGAGTGAGTGGTGGCACTGGGCAAGTGGGCACAGTATATGCTGTGAGCCTGACACACAGGTTGGCAGGCAGGCAACTGCAATTACATTACACAGAAAAAAAAAAGCAGACTGATGTTCTAGCCCTAAAAAGGGCTTTTTGGGGTGCTGTCCTTACAGCAGAGATCAGATGAGTCCTTCAAGACTGTAGTGGACACTGAATACACTAGCCTAGCTATCAATTTCCCTATCAAATCATCAGCAGCTACACTGTCCCTCCTCTCACTAAGAATGCAGCTTCACAATGAATGTAAAATGGATGCTGTCCATTAGGTGGGAGGGTCTGGGAGGGAGGGTCTGCTGCTGATTGGCTGGAATGTGTCTGCTGACTGTGAGGTACAGGGTCAAAGTTTACTCAATGATGACGAATAGGGGGCGGACCGAACAGCGCATATGTTCGTCATCCGCGGCAAACGCGAACAAGCGATGTTCGCTGGGAACTATTCGCCAGCGAACCATTCGGGACATCACTATTAAGGAACAGAGCTGTTTTAACACTGTTGTGGTGTTTGTGTTTAGCTGTAATTTTCCTCTCTCTCATTTATGGTTCCCATACAAATTATATATAGTTTTTTTCAGGACAAGAAGGGCTTTCTTTACATACCATTATTTGTATCAAGTCATATATTTTACTTTAACAAAAAATAACAAAATATGGTGAAAAATAAAAAAAAAACATGTTTTTTTACTTTTACTTGAAAAATCTTTTACTGACCTACAAAAGCTACTGAAAAAACTGCTAAATAGATTCAAAATTATGTCCTGAGTTTAAAAACACCCAGTGTTTATGTGCTCTTTTGCTTTTTTTTTTTTTTTGCAAGTTATAGGGCTATAAGTACAAGTAGGAAATTGCTGTTTCAAAATATATATTTTTAAAATGTATCTATAGTGACATTGTAACACTGTTATCTGTCATAAATCTCCAAATCACACCTCACATATATATTTTTTTACAAATTTTTTAAAGTAAACAACCCAGGGTATTCAATATGGGGTATGTACAGTCTTTTTTAGTAGCCACTTAGTCACAAACACTGGCCAAAGTTAGCATTTATATTTGTTTGTGTGTTAAAAATGCAAAAAACTATTATGAACGCTAACTTTGGCCGGTGTTTGTGACTACCTTTGGTTGTCTTCTTTTGCAAATGGTATGCCATTCTCATTCCTGGGCTACCATATGTTCTCAAAGGTAACATAACCAATCTGGCAAAAAGAAAATCAAGCCTTATATTTGACCCTGTAACTTTCAAAAACACTATAAAACCTCTACATGGGGGGTACTTTTATACTCAGGAGACTTCGCTGAACACAAATATTAGTGTTTCAAAACAGTAAAACGTATCACAACAATATCACCAGTGAAAGTATCGTTTGTGTATGAAAAATGAAAAAAACATCACTTTCACGAACAATATCATCACTGTGATATATTTTACAGTTTTGAAACACTAATATTTGTGTTCAGTGAAGTCTCCCGAGTAAAACAGTACCCCCCATGTACAGGTTTTAAGGTGTCATAGAAAGTTACAGGGTTAAACACAGTGCTAGGAAATTAAATTCTCTGGACTTCTGGCCTGGGTTGTCAGGCAGGTCCCTCAAATCAAACTGCAATCAATAAAATTACTTAATTATGTAAAAATATTACATAAATATGCACGTAGAATTTAAATATATATACATATTTATATATTTGAAGTCTACGTGTACATTTATGAAATTATTTATGTAATTTTGTATATGGACATATGTATATTTTGTATTATTTTTGTTTATTTATATATACATATATATATATATATATAATTTCATTCTAAGTGTATTTTGATATTAATATATATTTTAATATCAAAATACCATTAGAATAAAATTACATATATATATATAAATTATTTTTACTTTTTTAATTTATTTAAATTTACTTATTATTTGTATTTTATAATAAATATATATACAATATATATAGTTATCATATATATTATATATATGTGTGTAATTTAATTCTATGTGTATTTTTATATTAATACATGTATTTATTAATATAAAAATACACTTAGTATGACATTATGTATATAAGATATATATACATATTATATATAGATATAATACATGTATATATATATATATATATATATTTCATATATATATATATATATATACATATATATATATATTTTACACTGATTGCTTTTTTTGTACTTTATTTTTTTTTAATTTTACACTTGCAGGGAGACTGCCTGTCAGCACAGGTAGTCCCCCTGCAGGCAGATAAATGGACAGCTATTGTGGCCATGTGACCGCTCTGTTAGAGCGATCACATGGTCTAATTTGCCATGTTGTGACTGCCTGGGCTGCAGGCAGTCCCTGTGGCCTGCGAGCAATGCCGATCAGTTCAGGACCATCACCGGTCCTCAAGGAGATGTTTCCGGTGACGTTCCTGAACTGTCCCATAAAGGACTGGCCCAAGCTAAGACTTTACCTTTTAGCTGGTTCATTAGGTAACCAATCTTAGCTCTATCCGAGGGAAAAGATCCCAGTGCGGCCTCAAAGTGGTATTCAATTTGATTCAGAAATCCCCATACTTGAATATTACCATCAAAATGTGGGGGAGGAGATAGGGAGATAGTAGGTGCCTTATGTACTATAGGTGGAGGTACATTAGGTGGAGGTGACATAGTTGGAAAAACCTCAGGCTGTAGATGCACTGTTTGAGTAAGAAGAGTACTAAAAAGCCTGGGCAAATTGATCCATACGGTGATCATTCTCCTCTAACTTTCTCTCGTAAGATGCTATGTGCTGACACAATTCTGCAGGATCTAAGGCCATCTTGTAATTACAGGATACTAGTTGATCCAGCACCCAGAATTGTGTCACACCTGGGGCTAAATGGTAATGTCTTACCGGGCCTTAGAATGCCTGGACTTAACATACCAGAGAATAGTCAGTAAACTTGCCAAGATCAGGGACACAGAAGGAGACACAACGATGAGGGAAAGCCAAAAGTCAAGGATACCAGAATACAGGGAAGTCAAAGCAAAGCCAAAGTCAAAAAACAGAAATAAACGCTCAGGAACACTCTCTCAGATAACCTACTAAGGGAAACCACGACAGGGCAATGAGGAGAAGTAAAAATGCATTTAAATAAGCCTTCTACAGATCTGATTGGCCAAAATTGGCCTCTGACCCCAGAACATGCGTGTGCGTCTCCCGCGTGACATCACACGCACGCCAACGTCACCACCGTGGGCGGACGTGGGGCTATAAATTGGTGTAGAAATCGCAGTGGCCGGCATCCACCAACATGTCGCAGGAGTCAGGTATACTGATGCATGGCCGCTGAGTGGCACTTCCATTATTGTTAGGGAGGCAATTACTGCAGATACCACAAGGTGAGGATAAATATGTTACACATAGTCAATTTCCTTCGCACAACATTTTAGAGCGAGAACATATGAAAAGTAGAAAAGTAGCATATATATGATGGAATTAGTTGAAGCCACTCTCCCAACTTGGGAGTCACAGCCCCGAGTGCTCCTATCACAACTGGAACTACTACTGCCTTCACTTTCCACATCCTTTCTAGCTCTTATTTAAGACCTTGGTATTTGTCCATTTTCTCATATTTCTTCTTCCTGATGTTATGGACACTACGTATTACTATATCCGCCACTACTGTAGTCTTCCATTCCTTGTCTACCACCACAATGTCAGGTTGATTGGCAAGTATTTGCTTATCTGTCTGGATCAGCTGGCAGGTCTAGCTCATATTCTGTGCAGATGCTTCGGTGCACAATTCCAGCAATTTTGTTGTGGCCTTCAATGTATCCTGTTCCTTATAACATCTTTCAACCAGCCAGCCACTATGTTCTCAGTTGTCTCAGAGGCCTCATTGCACGGTCTGCACCTTATGTATTGCCTGGTCCATAGTCAAGAGGAAGCTAGTGTCACAACTGGAATTAGACAGGCTACAGAAAAAAAAAATATATGTATATATAAATCCAGAAAGCTCTTGCACTCCAACCAAACAGTTATTCAATACCTGGTGCTCTGGTAGCTTAAACATATAAATAGAAAAAATACCGGCACTCCTAGGCTTTCCAAGTAAGGATTCTTTAATCCAGAGAATTATATTGATGTTTCAGCTCCATTATAGAGCTTTCATCAGGACATTAACAACACTTAAAAAATGAAAGGCTTATAAAGGAAGCTAAAATTAAGGTAAGTACTCACTTTTACAGCTGAAGCTCATTCCCCGATCCCGCCCGATGCGCTCATGTTGCATGTTCATTCACCGGGTATGGACATGTGATCAGTTACTGCAAGGATTCCGACTGGTCAGACACACCACGTTTCTAGGGTAACCATGGGCGCGTTACCTCATTGGCTAATCCCCTGTGTACTGGTGCTGTTAAGGCTCAAATTTCATCATAGCCTCGGATCTCATGCTATACGTTGTCATGACAACCCGAACGCAACCGGGCTGTTATCTGAGGAAAAGAGCATCAGACAAGACATTAGAGGGAGGGAGGAAGGCCTCAGTGCTATACTGCTTGACAACAAAAAACTAGTTTAATATTAGTATAAATGAATACTTAAATGCCAAAAAATAAAGTGTAAATTCATCATAAGGAGCCACTTAATGTGTGCTCATACATAGTGAGTGAATGAGAATAAAGAGACTTAAGAGCTGCTAACTACTAGCATACATATGAATAAAGTGCTTCCAATTAATTACATTCATTACTAACCTATGTCTTTTAAATATACAATAAATTTTGTTAAAAGATATGTGCAAGCAAAAAAGTTTTTTTTTTAAAAATGCAAGTGCTAAAAATTATTTTTGATTGTCAACCAATAAGACTCATAACTCTGTCCCATTTTTAGGACTTAGTGTCTAAAGCATCTTACTCCTCCAAAGTTCAATGTTACTTTTCTCCAAAAGTCCTGTAATTCTGAGCCTTCCTTACAACAGTAAATGAAAAGAGCATTATAATAATATAAAATACTTAGTTGACAGTACCCATAACGAAATCCTAACTATGTGGTATAAGGAGAGTTACATGATCATAACTTGTCATCGCAACAATTGTCACAGCACTTCTACAGAAAAGCTGTAAAGGAACATTTTTCATTAAGGCCCTTAGGTGCCAAAGTGTTAAGTTGTATAATCCAATATGTCTCTCGTTGCAATATATATTTATTTTATTTTTTAATCTATGGGCCTATTCCATAGGCATTGGAGCTTTGGCTCCAATAGTCCCTACGCTAATTCAGCCCTGGCTAAGGATGAAGTGACTATGGATTTTGTCAAACTGTTTTCAAGCAGTCTGTTTTATTGTTTACCAATTGTGATATAAGCAACCAGTCATAGACAACCCAGCATCAGGGAATATAAAGAGCATGTTGGAGGAAAACATCTGATGAAAATATAAGAGCTGCACACAGGGAGCCATGTCCTTCAGTACTTTCTATTATTCTGTTATCAAACTGTGTTTATATCTGCCATTCACACTGTTAACACTGTATAAGTTAAAATACATTAAACCTGAGATAACACAACAGGTAACAATGTTTATTTCTTAGGTACCTGTGTATTCAATTTTTCGTTTTATTGTAGTAAACTATCATTTTTGTGTATTGTTAAAAGTTAGCTTTTTCAATTTGGTCACATTTAAGAAATGTAGTATATGTAAGTCTTTTATTGAGTGGCAAAAAATATTTTCCCAAAATGGTACAGTGTATTGTACAATAAATTCAGGAAGAACTCAATCTTTATTTAGCTCTTTTTCATGTTGACTTTTATCACATGCTATCAATCTCTACTAACATTGTTTTTACCAGTAATTCACTATATTGGAGATAAATTATGTGAAAGGAAATATTAACCAATAAGCATATTGAGGAAAATAAGAAACAATCACAAATAATGATCAATTAGAATAAATGTAATTAAAATGGCTTGCAATGAATATTATAATCATAGCTTTGCAATTCCATCAATAATACTCAAAATAATAAAAAGTTGATTAGTAATTGTAAAACTTGAGCTAACAGTCCTGGAATACTGGAGCAAAACATTGATTATTAACTGTTAAAGGGCTAGTTCAGTGGGTGATTTTATTCATGTGTGTTGTGTAAAATAAAAGGGCTGTCTTTACTAGCAAGAAATGGTACACATGGTGTGTATCTTCTCTTGCAGCAACTTGATTGCTGATTAAACAACTACACCAAATATCAGTTGATTAGAACTTTAAGTGGACACTATAGCCACCAGAACCACTATAGTTTAATGTAGTGGTTCTGGCATCTATAGCCTGTCCCTACAAAATTGTTAATGTAAAAACTGCCTTTTCATAGAAAAAGCAGTGTTTACATTGCTGCTTAGATTCACCTCTAGTGGCAGCCACTCTAGAGCAGCACTGGCATTCAGAGTTGCTATGCTCTGCATGGAGGTGCTGTACATTCCCCATAGAGATGCATTCATTCAATGCATCTCTATGAAGAGATGCTGACTGATGCAGTGTTTTGCTATGGGAAATCATTGGTTTGACTGATATCATCAAGACTGATGACCTCAGCCATGGAGGCATGACCAGGTCAGTAATGCCTTTGGAAGAGAGACCTCAATCTTCCATGAGGATAATTGTCCTAAAGCTGGATTCTGCTGTTGATAAGGTGCATCCAAGGTGGTCAACCTCTTATAAAATTATTACATTCTATAACTTTGGATAGTTTTATAAGTGAGTGAAAGGTACAGTTTTCTTCATCTTTCTTCTCAAGATTAGAACAAAGAGTAACACCATCTGGAATTCTCAGCGTGATTCAGGCAGCACAGAGTTCCAGTTGCTGGATATTTTTTCTCTCTATCGACGCCCAAAAATTATTTGACCTGGAGGAATGGTAGTTAAAGCTGGCCACAATGCGATCCATGGGTTTTGGTCCTCATATGTTTGCCTGGATCTCCTACTTGTACACTATACCAAGCGCTTGTTTGAGGATTAATGGGGCCATGTCTCCCTCTTTTAAAAAAGCCAAAATGGCACCTGACAGGAGTGTCCTTTGTCCCCCCTCCTGTTTGTCATCTATGTAGAACCTTTTCTGGAGGAGGTCAGACAGGACCAAGGTATAATGGAGTTCCTGTCTGGAACAAGGATGCATAAGGTCGCAAGCTACGCTGACGACTTATTATTCTTCTTTGAGGATTCCCTAGTGTCCCTAGAATACGGACACCTATCCACTATTAACGATTTCAAGAATACGGACACCTATCCAAATTGTAACTTAATGTGGACAAACCTGAAGCCTTTCCAGTCACTATTACTCACCAGGACACTGTCCACTTATGCTCACAATTACCTTTTAATAGGTGTGTGAGCCCACTAAAGTATTTAGGAATCTGGCTGACCAAGGACGTAACCCTCCTGTATTGAAAAAACTTTATACTCATCCTTCATACTCTACACTCTGACTTGTTAAAATGGGGTGGCTTATGTGTCTTTTAGTTTGGTTGAAATGTTTTGAAACTAAACCTACTACCAAGACTGTTGTTCCTTTTCCAAACTTTACTGATATCCATCCCAATGGCATTCTTTTAATTGAGGGACACTGCATTGACAAGATTCCTGTGGAAGACAGAACAACCATGGGTAAAACGTGCACAGTTATACCTTCCAAAAGAAGTTGGGAGGAATTGGTCTTCCACCCTTGCTATTGTACCTCCTCATGCTGATTGACTGGCATGTACAGAAGTCACAGAAATTATGGATTGATCTGGAGAAGACTCAAGTTAGTGAGCAGCTTCCCTCTATTGTCTTCACAGTGAACCCTCTGAGCGACAAGCGTGTTATGGAGCACCCTTTTATTGGGGTGACCACAAGGGTTTGGTTCTTGACAAGGATGTCATTTAACCCCCACCACAAAATAAAAAATGAAGATTAAAAAAAAAAAAAAAGACAAGTAATGAGCAATTTTATAATCTTTAATATCTCTTACCTTTGTTTCAAAATGGAGTTTCAGGGAAAAGAATCCTTGTTTCAATCAATGTGAATGGAACCAATCCAAGAGTCAAAATGAAGAATGGTGACCCTATAAAATTGTTCTAAGGTCATGACGACAACAAAATGGGATATTAGTCTGTTGGTGAAGAGTAGCACTATGTAACATGAAAATAAACTCATTGTATGGATAAAACCTTAAAATGTTTATTGCCAGCTGTCAACTAATGTTCGGTAAGTATAGCCCACACCCACACTACAGCTCATTGGAGTAGTTATGGTGTTTATGGTGCTTCTGTCAAATTAAGTTTGAGCAGTTTCACAAAAATTGGGGTTCTTTTGACTTCTTTTTGTAACTAAACTAATGCTGTGTTGTGAATGTATGCATTAATCTAGTCATCTGGGATGGCACTCACAACCTACAATTGTTTTAAAACATTATTTTGGCAAATGCACACCTTTGTATTATCTGAGCAACAGTAGTCGGTTTTGTCACGATTCGGGGAACCCAACACGCTGGCACACACACACACAGAAAAGGTGCCGTACCGGACCT